CAAGGACATCAGGCACAGGCTGGCCACCAGAACTCAGCCTCTCCCTACCCACAGCCACCAGGACAGACACAGGGACAGAGGGACAGAGGGACACGACGTCTCAGTGGCCCATGGGCCAAGGTCAGCACTTTATTTCCTTCTGCCATTGTACAAAAATAAAGAAGTGCCACATGGGCGGGGGCACTGCCCTTCTCTATGTGTACCAAAAATATCAATATTCATAAATAAATCCTTGTGATATTCATACTTTAACACTGTACAAAAATATAATAAAAATAGATATTTATATATTAGAAACGTCCTTAAATACTTCTGCAAGATGCAGGAGTTAAATTAACCCTAACAATCAATAAATACAATAAAGTAACAAATAATAAGTATAAATTAGGGGTGAGGGAGTGGGGGCTGTCACCCACTGTCACAGTGCAGTGGCCAGAGCCGAGTCCTTGCTGGGCACAGTCAGGGCTGTGGTGGCACAGGGGGCTCGGGGGGGACACGGAGGGGACAGGGATGGATGAGAGCACAGGGGACACTGAGAGCACAGGGACACCGAGCACACAGGGCTGTGCAAAGGGACACCGAGCTCGGGGACACCGAGCACACAGGGAGACACACAGACCGGGCAGGGACACAGGATTGCACTCCCAGCTTCTCCCTGGCAGCAGAGCTGGCAGGGGGTGACAGCACCGGTGACAGCCGCCGGTGGCAGCGGCGCTCTCCGTGGGCTCGGTGGCGGGTGCTGGGCGAGCAGCTCTGAGTCAGGCTGTGTCAGCCGACCCATTGAATCATTGGAAAATCCAGCGGGGCTCGGGGACAGGGAACAGCTGGGCACCCGGGGGACACCCGGCTCCACCGGGGCCACCTGGATCCAGGGAAAAGCGGGGCAGGATGTGGGAGAGCCAGCCAGGGCTGTCCTGCAGCCCAGCGGTGGCTCGGGGACAGCAGGGTCCCCCCAGGAGCCGAAGCGGCCGGAGATGCTGTCAGTGCGTCCGAGCCCTCGCTCCGGTGCAGGTGAGAGGGGCTCCGTGGGGCATCCCGGCCATCGGATGCCTCTCCATGCTGGGAACGGGGTTGAGATGGCCTCACACGGGATGGAGATGGAGATGATGGAGATGATGGAGCTGCAGACGGGCGCTCCGGTGCGGCGGGGCTGCGCTAGGGCCGTGCGGGCCGCCCCGAGCCCCGGGCCGATCTCCCGTTCCCCTTTTCCCGGCGCGTCCGGCGGCTCCCGGCGCTCAGCTCGGCGCTGCGCTCGGCCATGAAGCGGGCGTAGCTCCAGAGGATCTGGCACCCCTGCAGCTTCTGTCGGAAGATGCCGAGGGATGCCGCGGGGCTGGGGAGGGGCCGGCGGCCGGGCCGGGGGCTGGGGGCCGGGAACAGCCCCGCCAGGTTGCTGAGGAGCGCTCGCACCTTCCAGTGGGTCCTGTTCAAGCGGCGAAGGATTTCGGCCTCGGGGGGGTGGAGGTCGCGCTGGTGGCGGATGATGTCCTGCAGCGCCTGCTCCATGTGGATCATCGGCCTCCGCAGCCGCCGCAGCCCCCAGGGCCCCTTGCCCGACCTCTGCAGCCACGCGGGGGGGTTGTTGGTGCGGCAGATGTTGTGGATGTCCAGGTGCTGCTCCTTCTCCTGCCCAGAGATCGGAGAGGAAGATCAGGGACGTGGAGGCAGCACGGGGAGCGCCCCCCGGCTGCCTGTGCAGGGCACAGGGGTGACCCCTCGCCCTGGGGAAGGGGACTCACGTAGAAGGTGAAGAGCTCCTGCGCGTCCTCGGCCATGAGCCGCACCAGCGCCTGGGTCTGCGGCACGGTGGGGGCCAGCGGGGACCTGCCCCCCTGGCCCGGCACTGCCCAGAGGATGAGGAGCCCCTTGGCGACAGCTGGGGACGAAGAGGAGGGAGTCAGGGGCCGTTGGGGCATGGCTGGGTGCAGGGACAGCCCTCTCTCACAGGGTCACCATCCCTGTGCCAGGAATGCTGCCTGCACCACACACCCAGCCCCTGCGCCAAAAACCTGCTGGGTTCATCCATCCATCCATCCATCCATCCATCCATCCATCCATCCATCCATCCATCCATCCATCCATCCATCCATCCCCCGGCGGGAGGAGAAGGAGGAGGAGGAGGAGGAGGAGGAAGGTGCTGAGGTGCTGTGGAGCGGCCGGGATGCACAGAACAACCACAGCAGCTGCTCCTGCAGCTCCCCCTGCAGCGCGGGCCACCGCAAAGGAGGGGACAGCAGAGACACTCCTGGATCCAGTCCCGCTGTCCAGCTCTGCCAGTCACTGTCCCAGTCCCTCTGTGACCCACAGGACTGGGAATATGGCACTGGGCTGACACAGCCTCTGTCCCTTTGGGCAAGCTGACCCCTGACCTTCCGCCATCGGTCCCCAAACTGTCCCCTCCCGCCTCCCGCTCCCAGCATCCCCTCTCTCCCAGGCTGCCCGCTCCCAGAGCGCCCCGTGTGCCACAGCGGGGAATGTCCCCGAGGGAGGCGACACCGCCGTGGCACAGCCTCGGTGCCGTCTGCCCCGGCACCGCGGGCTCCGCAGCCACGGGGGCCCCGCGGCTCCGGCCGGGGCGAGCGAGAGGGGACACGGGGACAGGGCCCGCGGGCACCCACGGGCACACGCGAGCACACGCGGGCACCCACGGGCACACGCGGGCACACACGTACCTGCCAGCACTGCCCAGGGCCGCCCGTCGCACCGCATGGCCGGGGCAGGGTGTCCGCCCGGGGCTGGCACAGGCACTTCCTTGAGCGCTCGGCGAGGGGGAAGCGCTCTTTTAAGCAGCCGAGTCACCCCCGCCTCTGAAGGAAGGCCAAGAGAAGTGAAGCTCGGCCCCAGTGAGCGGGGTGACAGCGGGGCGGGAGGGGGGTGGATAGGAACGTTCTTCGAGTTAATTCCTCGAGGGAGTCCGGGACTGTGCGGGGAGGCTGCGGTGCCACCGCTCACCCGGGTCCGGCGGGACCCCCGGCCCTGGTTCTTGGGACAGAGACCTTTGGGATCACGCTGGTGTCACCGCTCAGCACCCGACAGGCTGAACTGAAACCAGCGCCGGCTGCCCCGAAACCCCAATGCAAAAGAGGGCAGTGGCGGCTGGCAGCGGGGACAGGGATGTCACCCGTGTGCCACCACGGGGGGTTCGCATCCCAAATCCAGCTGTGGGAGGCAAAAATCTACCCTGGCAAGGAGGGAGGTGGAGTTGTGGGAAGTGCACGGCATCCCAGCACTGCCTGATGCTCCGGGGGATGCTCCGTCCGCCTGCTCACAGCCACCCACACCTCTGGGTGACAAATTTGGGTGCTGAAGCAAGTGGGGGACACCAGGCTGAGCCCCTGCGCCCGGCAGCACCCCCGGGAACACCGAGGGTGCTGGGTATTGCCCAAGGCAGCGCTGCCCCTTGTGCAACGCTGCCCTGGGAGTGCCCTGGGGCTGCGACGGCCTCGGCACAGGCAGCAGCACCCAGGACAGTCCCCTCTGTCCCCCTGGGTTCCCCTTCCTGGCAGGCGGAGCCCGCACCCACAGGGGTTTTCCCGTTCCTTGGAGGTGAATGGCTGCGCTCAGCGTGCCGAGGTGTGTCGCAATCCCGTTGATTTTGGTGACCCTCGCCGAATTTACGCATTTGGAGAGTTCAGCGATGGCACAGGACACAAGGCAGAAGTTAACAGCTCCTTCCAGGAAGAAGGGTGTAGCGCTCACTCACTTTTAGAAGTGTTTTGCTTTCCCAGAATTTCCCTGCCCAGCCGCAACGACCTGCACGCTCTGCTTCCTCCACCCGCTGCCTCTGCCGACTCCTCCTCTTCCTCCTCCCCAGAGCGGGGCTCCGTGGGGCCAGGGTGTGCCCAGGACAGTCCCGGAGAGGTGGAGGAACCAGGGGAAGATCTTGCTCGCTCCACAGCAATTTGTCCATCCCTCAGGCTGCCTCAACAGGCTGTTCAGCAGCTGTCCACTTGTGTGTCCATCCATCCATCCATCCATCCATCCATCCATCCATCCATCCATCCATCCATCCATCATCTGTGCACCCATCCAAGAATTCCTCCACTTGTTCAGCTATGCATTAACCTGTCTATCCATATGATCATCCATCCCTCCATCCATCCATCCATCCATCCATCCATCCATCCCTCCATCCCTCCATCCCTCTCCTGCTGTGAGGGTGATCAGGGCTCCCACCCTCAGCTCTCCCCTGCCCACAGCTGGCCCTATGGCCCCCATATGTCACTGTCCCCCCCTGGGCTGGGCCAGCAGGACACCATGGCGTGGCCACCCTGCTGATGGCAAGTGTGGTCAGGGCTGTGCAATAGCAGAGGGACAGAAATAGCTCCGGTGACCGCACGGCCAGCAGCAGTTTCTTCATCGCCGGGAGCGCGTCAGCGGCGTCCCATGACTCGGAGAAGGGAGCGAGAGAGGAAGGAGAGAGCCCCTGGAGCTGGCAGGAAGCTGGAGGCTGCAAGAGCGCGGGGCTGACGTGGGCACGACGTGCCAGGATGGGGGCACAGCCCTGCTCGGAACGTGGGAGAGCAGGGGATGGCTTTGGGGACAGGATGGGAGCAGAGGTCCCACCAGGCTCGTGCTGGGTCTGGCTGAGGGCCAGGCCCCCCTGGGGGCACCCCCTGGCTGCAGCACCCCCAGGAGGGCACAGCCCCCACCCCGTGTACCCCACTTTGGCACAGGATGCCGTGCTGCCAGCAAGGGAAGAGGATGTGGGGACAGGTGGCAGTGTGACAGGGACACCCCCAGGCCTAGGGTCAAGCTCCTGCCTCAGTTTTCCCCCGGTGTGGCCCGGTGTGGGGCAGGGGGAGAGCATAAATGTGGGCCTGGTTTTCCCCAGGGTCAGTGATTTGCTGGGGGCTGCAGCTTTAACCCATTTATTGACCCAAAATACAGAGCAGAGAAAGTGTCCATGTCCCAGCCTGACTCTGTGCCCCTGTCCCATCCCAGTCCCTGCCACCAACACAGAGACCAGCTCTGGGCAACCTCCCTGGACTACACAGAAATAAAAATAATAAGAATTTTATTGACTTATCAAAAACTATGTGAAAATACAACTTGTGAGGAGCTGGGAGTCACTGTCACCCCTCCATGACAGGTGACAGCCAGCGCTGGCATTGAACCAGAGTCCCCTTGGAGATTTTTGGGGTGCCAGGGGTAACCCCAGCTCCAGGAATGCTCTCCCCTCCATGGGGCTGCTCCAGGGCTGTCCCTGAGCATCGTGGCCACCGCTCCCTTCCCAAGGGGACACATCCCATCAGCCCCAGGCTGTCCCCTATAGCACCATGGTGGCACATCACTGCTCTTTGGCATGTCCCCCCGTGTCCCCTCCACCTGGACACACCCACTGTCCCTGGGCCACCCACCCCACCCAGGTCAGGCTAGAGGGAGAGGATGGCACCCAGGGACTGCCCCTCTCCTTGTGCCCACTGCCACAAGGCCACCACGTCCCCAAAGCCACCACATCCCCAGCACAGAGGGAGCGATGCTGAGCCCAGCTCTGTCCCGTGCTGGGGGATCATTAACAATTAACAATTAATGACAGGGGTGGGGAGCAGGGGAGGCGCCACGCTGGGACAGCCAGCCTGGGGACAGCCAGCCGCTATCTGCCGCTCTCCTGCCGCTGCTGCAGCAGCTGGATCACCTCAGCAATGCCCTCCTCAGGGACCTGCCGGGGGACAGAGCGGGTGTCAGCCTCAGGGGACACCCCGGGGCTGGCAGGGGTGCCCAGGGAGGGGCAGGGCTCACCAGGGCGTGATCAAAGTTGAAGGTGCTGATGTAATAGGCCGAGATGTCGGCGGCCGCCAGCGGCTCCGCGATCTGCGCCACGATGCCACACTCGTCTGGGGACAAAGGGGCCTCAGGTCACTGCCATGGGGACATGCGGGGACAGCAGTGCCCCACAGCACCCCCTGGGTGGCAGCGGCACAAGAGGGGACACGGCCACCAGGGCCACGCTCACCGAAGCCGAGGGGCTGCCCCCCGATGCGCACCATGCGCCACAGCTCCCCCGTGGAGCTGGTCAGCAGCAGGTCACTGGGAAAGCTGAGGGGGACAAAGGCAAGTGTCACCCTCTCCCTGAGCCCCCAGAGCCGGGGACAGAGGGACAGATGGCCCCGGGATGGCACCTACCGCTTCTGGGTCTCGGCATCCATCACGATGGAGATGTAGCCCTCGATGAGGGAGAAGGAGAAGAAGGTGATGGAGTCGAGGTCCTGGCTGCCGGCGGCTGCATCCCACGGGGGGCTGCCGAGGGGCAAGGGGACACAGAGAGGGGTCAAAGCCCCAAAATGGGGAGGAGAAGGGCGTGGTGGTGGCTTTGGGTGTCTGAGCATCATCCTGGGGCGCTGCAGGGTGGGGGAGAGGGGACAGGAGCAGGTGTCCCCACAGGGTCTGCAGCTCACAGGTGACACCAGGTTTTGGGGCATTCTCAAAAGGCCAGGGTAACTCTGGAGCAGGAGCATGCCACCAGCAGGGACCCCATCCCAGGGGACACTGGAGAACCCCATCAGGAGCATTCCCTCTCCCCAGCACCATTCCCACTGCCTTTCCCAAACCCATCCCCTCCTGCTTTAGTCTCCCTCTTGGGATTTGGTACAATGGTGGCTTTGTCCCTTGTGTCACCTCGGGGTTCCCACCCCTCACAGTGCAGCTCCCGGGAAGACAAAACCAGTTTGGAAAACACACCCAGAGTCTGAAAACCCGCTGGGACCAATGACAGGGACCAGTGTCACTGCAGTTCAGGTCGCACCAGGCAAGAGGCCACCCCCACGTCCCCATCCCCGGGACTCACCTGTGGGAGTAGAAGAGGACGTCAATGAGCATGGTGGCGATGGCGGGCAGCGTGTCGGGGGCCACCGTCAGGACACAGAAGCGCGTCTGGGGGCTCTGCACCGGGTGCAGCGTGGGGCTGGCGGCTGGCAGGGGAACGGCCGCGCGTCAGGCCTGGGGACAGCTCGGGGACAGTCCCGCAGTGCCACCCCGTGGCCACCGCGCCCGCAGCCCCGAGTCCCTCGGGGAGCAGAGGGGTGGCCCGGGGTCCCAAAGGATGTGGGTACCACGGGTGGGAGCTGCAGCATCTATGTGGGGACTGGGAGGCCCCAGATGGGCATCTCCGGTGGGGTCCCTCAGATATGCAGATACCACTGGTGGGAGCAGGAGCACCTTGGCAGGGACCTGTGTGGTCTTGGGGACAGGGTGACCATGGGGGTCCCCCAGGATGTGGGAACCACCCATGGGAGCAGCATCTTGGCAGGGACTGGATGGCTCTGGGACAGTGTGGCCTGGGGACAGGATGGCCTTGGGGGACCCCAAAGATGTGGGTTCCACTGGTGGGAGATGGATCATCTCATTGGGGACTGGGTGGCCCTGGGACAGAGCAGCTCTGGAGGCCCCTCAAGGATATGGGTACCACCGGCTGTGCTGGAGCACCTGGTGGCCCCAGAGGACACAGAGCCCAGTGTCACTCACGTGGCTTGGGCTTGAGGAAGCCGTTGCTGACGTCATCGCAGGTGACAGGGACACACTCGCCACCCTCCTCCTTGTAGATGTCGAACTCCCCGGCCAGCGTGTGGATCACCACGGGCAGGTCCCGCTCCCGCACCTGCCCAGGAGCAGGATCAGCACTGCCACCCCTCCTCAGGGCACAGAGGGACCCCGGGACGGCCAGCCAGGTGTCCCTGTGCCTGTCACTCACCAGGATGAAGTCGGTCTGGTATGTGGAGAGCATCAGCACCGAGACGTGGTGCTCGGCCAGCGGCGCGATGACCGAGCGCGCGATCTTGGTGACGCCGGTGGCCTGGCAGCCGGGGGGCTCCCGCCCGTTGGAGACCACGCTGAGCACCAGCCACGTGGAATCTGCCACCTGCATGAACTCGGAGGGTGGCAGCTCTGCAAGGGACAAGGGACACTAAGGTAGGTGGCTCTGCAGGGCTGGGCACAGCTGGACACAGAGCCAGGGCCAGCTCAGGCACTGTGTGCCACACTGTCCCCTGGCTGATCCCCCAGGCAGGATCAGCCCCAGGTGTGGGGACACTGGTTTGGGGGTGCAGATCCCCAGGTGGAATGAGCCAGACGGGGCTCAGCTGCTCCACACTGGGATCTGGCCATAGGGACCAGGGGGGTGAAGGCTAAGCCCCCCAAACCCCAAGATGTGTCTCTCCTCCCAGGCTGGGGGCGGGGGGTGTTGGCACAGGGAGGAGAGACACATCTTGGGCTTAGCACCACCAGGGCCGTGGGGCTGCCCAGCTCATCCTCTGCCCTCAGGAGCCCCCAGCCCCATGCCCACTACCAGGGATATTCAGGGATGCACACAGGGTGCTGGAGGGGGCAAGGGGACGGTCACCCCGCTGCCCTGGGAGTCCCAGCACCTGGTGCTAGCCTGGTGAAGAGAGCCCAGGCTGGCAGAGGGCCACAGGTGCTTCCCAAAAATCTGCTGGTGTTGGCAGGGTGGGCATAGGCCAGCTGTCCTGCCTCCCACCCCCCTTGCTCCCACCCTCCTGCCCAGGAGAGGGCTGGCACTGCTAGGGCACCCCAGCACTCAGCCAGGCTGCTCCCTCCTCTCTGGGCTCCCCTTCCCAGCACGGGACGGCCCAGGGCCCCCAGGGGTCTCCAGTTCCACTCCTCCCATGCAGTAAAGGTGGGAGCAGCTCCCATGGGAGATCACACAAGCCCCCAGCCCTTCCGTGGGCACCCCATGCCCAAGCCCAGCTGAGACCCCAGACTCATCACACCAGTGGGGAGGGGGGTAGAGGTCGCACAGGGAGGGTCCAGCACGCACTGAGGGGACCCCTGAGGGGACAGGCTTTGTACCCCGCTCCCAAACTCGGCCCGGGCAGGGCGGGAGCGGGGCCGGATCCAGGGCCCGGCGGGTGTTCCCAGCGCCTGTTCCTGTGCAGGAAGCGCCAGAACAGCCTCGGCTCCGGCCCAGCGCCCAGTGCTGGGAACAGGGGGGCGGGACAGGGACTCGGGGACATGGGGACCTGTCCCAGAGCTCAGTGTTAATTGCTTTTCAACACCAGCTTGGGCGAGGCTGAATGCAAGGGGACCTCGCTGTCCCTGTGTCACCCACCCCAGGGCTTTATCCTGATCCCCTGGGAATGGGGGGTGCAGCTCTCCTGTGCTGGGGGTCCCCATCCAGCCCGGCAGCAGAGGAACACGGGCAGCCCCCAGCCAAGGGGGGTTCACAGGGCACTGCGGGGCCATTGTTCAGCACTTCCCGCCCTCCCCTCGGGATTGAGGAATATTTGTCTGCAGGCCCCAAAATAAAACAATACATGGGGAACAGCTCTGGCTCTGGGAGCGGGGAGAGCCCGGGACACGGTCCCGTTCCACAGCACAAGGAGGTGAGCCTGGGACCCGGCCGTGAGTGCCCGTGGCCGGAGCGCTGCCCCTTGTTCCTTGGGTCACGGCCAAGGCTCCGCTGCGCCCAGCTCCTGCGGCCAAGGCAGGAAGGTTTGGGCGTGGGAAGGCGGGCCGGGATCCGGACCCTCCGGCTCGGCCCGTCGGGCCGGTACCGCGGCAGGGCTGGCGGCGAGGGTGATGCACGGCACGCGCCGGGTCACCAATGGCACCTCCCTGGGAGAGGGACTGGCTTGGAAGGGATCAAATGGCCCCAGGACAGCCCAAAAGCTGCCGGACAGGGCTCACCCCCGCCAGCCTGGCTGGGCCTGTGCTTTGCCCTCCTCTGCCAAAGCTGCAGTTGGCCCTCGCAGGGAGGAGGGGCGGGATGAAATCGGACGCGGGAACGATGACAGGAGCGCTGCCAGAGCCTGGAGCGCTGCCCGCGGGCATCCCGGGAGGTGCCTGCGCCCTGCCGGGAGCACCCGGGCTTCGGGTGGCACCTCAGCCCGATGCCACCAGCCGGGGGGCAGCTCTGCCCGGGAGGGGCTGTCGGAGCGAGGGCAGCCACGCCGGGAGAGCCTCGGCCGGGCAAGCCGGTACATCCCCGGCGCAGGCGCCGAGGGGACGGGACGGGCACGTTCCGAGGGAGCCAAGCACAAGCCGGGACTCGCTCCCTGAGGCCCAGGCGCGGAGCCGGGCTGGGGACGCGCACAGCCCGTGCCTGCGGTGCCAGCCCGCCCTGCCAGGGGGCCGCCGCTCGGTACCTTTGAAGCCCTCCTCGTCCAGCATGACCGTGTAGTCCTCGGGGGTCTCCGTCAGGCTGAAGAACTTGCATCTGAAGCAGAAAAAATCGGTGCTGCTGACCTCAAAACCGCCAGCGTCTCACGGGGCCCGGGTCGGGGGAAGAAGAGGAGGAGGAGGGTGGTGGCGGGAGAGAAGCCGGTACCGGCAGCGCTGGGGCAGGAAGAGCAGCTTGAGCAGCGGGTGCGTGTAGAGCCAGAGCCCGCGGCGGGCCAGGCTCAGCACCCGCACCCGGTGCTCCAGGATGTGCAGGTCCATGGCGGCCGCGCCGCCCCGGGAGCCGCCGCCGCCGCCGCTATAAGGGCGGACACGGGACCGCCCCGGGACCGGCCCAGGACCGCCCCGCATTGCCCCGGGACCGCCTCGCATCGCCCCGGAACGGCCCTGGGACCGCCCCGCCTCGGTTCCTCAACGCCCTGTGACCGCCCTTATCGCCCGGGGACCGATCCGGGAACGCTCCGCATCTCGCTGGCACCGCCCTGTGACCACCTGCCTGGGCCGGGACCGCCCCGCATCGCCCAGGGACCCGACCCGGCACCGCCCAGGGACAGGCCCGGCACCGCCCCGCACCGCGAGAAAGGCAGCGAGCCGGGCCCGGCGGCCTGGGAACAGCCCCGGTTCAGAGCCCCGGGCTGCCCGCACCGGAACCTCGGAACCAGCCCCAGTACAGAACTCCATGGTGCCCAAACCCGCCCAAATTCAGCGGCCCGGGGTGTCTGGAGCAGCTCCAACTCAGAGTCCCGGGGTACCCCCGAACTGCAGCCCTGGGGGTGCCTAAGGAAACCCTCTGGGAGCCACTGCCAACCCCATCCCACCCCCAACCCCAGCACCCAACCGGGTCCCACACACTCAACACCAGGCCTGGAGAGGGGATTCACCAAACCAGGACCACCCCTGCGAAAAGGGGGTTCTGGAAGGAGGAATGGAGGTTTGGGCAGAATTCCTGCCTGCCAGAAGGAGACAGATGGCCTGGGCACCATTTTGGGATGGGAAGCTGAGTTCTGGGGTGTCACGGGATTAATTAGGGGTCCTCTGGCTCTGTTCAGCCACAGGAACTGTGACAGTGGGAGAGGGGGAAAGGCCTGGGTGCTGGAATGGGAGTGCACCAGAGCCTGGCCGCCACCACTATCACAAGCTGGGACAGGTCTCAGTCTCCTCCCATTCCACTTCAAAGGACAGCCCCAAGGCTGGGTGAGACAGCAGGGCTGGGCCACCCTCTGCGGTGACAGAGCAGTGACAGAGCAGTGACAGCAGTGTGGCCCTTCCCAGGACACAGCCCAGCACCTGCCCCCCAGGACAAGGGCAGCCAGGGAAGATGGGACCCAGGGAAGGGTGCATGCCAGGGTCAGTCCCCAGTGAAAATGGGATGCAGGGGAGGGTGCTCCACAGGGACAGAGAACCGTGGGTAAGGTCCAGGTCAGGGTGCCCCCCAAAGCTGGCACTGGTGCAGCAAGTGGGAGGTGACACCACCCTTGCCTCCTGCCACCCTCCACCCCCATCCCAGGCCGAGAGAGGTGGGAGCCAGGGCTGCGCCTTTACACACTCGCTTTATTGACCCCTTTGTACAAAACTGCTTTTCCCGCTTTATTTTACAAACCCACCACCCACCCTCGGGGAGGGCAGGGTGGGCAGAGGGGACCCCACAACCAGGGAGCACCTGGCTGCTGCTCACCCACCCCGTCTCACCTGCGCTGGGGCCCAGGGGGGGCAGCAGTGGTGGGGCGAGCCCTGGCAGGGTAAACACTCCCCCTGAGCTGTGGGGAACTTGGGGATGGGAGGGGATGGGATGGGGGGGCTTTAGCCCCAAAACTCGGCATCAAATTCCGCTGCCTCTAGCACATCCTGCCTCGGTCCCTGTCCTGCCTCGGAGGAATAATAAATAGGCTCAGTGAGTAGGTAAGTTGGGTACTACATAAAGGGCTACAGCTTGATATATCCTCACTAGATAAGAGGGGGGCGAGGGGTCCCAGGGCTCCTCGTGTACCCCCAGTGCCCCGCGCCAGGCCTAAGTGCTCGGGAGCCGGGGCTGGGGCTGCCCGGCTGGCGCAGGGTGGGGGCTACAGGGGGGACCCAGGGGGTGATGGGTCAAGGGGCTCTGGGACGGGGAGAAGGGCCCGAGGGGCAGCCCAGCCCCCCAGTGTGGGGAGGGAGCTCGGGTGGCTCAGCCACCCCCTGCCCGGGCTCCCACCGCTCGTGGTGCCAGCACCCTGCGGGGTGGGCACCCAGCGCAGACCCACGGTGTCCCCTTTGGTCACCACACCTGGCCAAGCTCCACGGATGCCCCGAGAGGGCCACGCTGTTCTCACGGAGCCGCACAGCCCCCCTGTCCCATCCCTCCAGCTCAGAGCCCCCAGCGCCGGGTGCCAGGGGTCCCCCTCGGTGTCCTCGCGCCCGGGTCCGTGCGCAGCCCCGCTGAGCCCGGCTGCCCGGGGTGTGGGCAGGGCCCTACAAGTACGTGTCCTCGCTCTCCCGGGAGCTCAGGCTCTCCTTGGACTGGTGGTGGGGGGAGACCTGGGGGTGCAGCAGCTCCCGGGTCGTGCCGGGCGCCCCGTTGCCCTCGGCCCCGGGGCCGTTGGCAGGACTGGCCGGGCCCTTTTCCCGGCTCTTCTCCTTGCTCTTGCGGGCCTTGGGCACGGGGGCGGGCCCGGGGGAAACGATGATGGAGGGGACGGGCTCCAGCGCCTTGCGCGGCGCGGGCTCCGCCTCGCTGATGGCCTTGGCGCCGTGCAGGCGCGGGGGGGATTTGCATTGCAGCTCTCCGTGCGTCTCCCGCCACTTCTTCAGCTGGATCAGGTGCTCCCGCTCGATCTGACGCTCCGTCACCGGCAGCTCGATGACCTGCGGGGACACTTTTGCCATCAGCGACAGTGCCACCGGGGCTGGGTGTGGGATCCCCCTCAGGGCACAGGCCACCGCTAACCAAGCTTTTTGGGAGCTGCTTCCCATGCTCCACCCACCCAGGGACAGCCCAGTCTGGCAGCACCGGCCAGCTGGGCTAGCTGGGCCCCCAGACCGTCCCCAGCACCTCACCTCCTGCACCAGGAAGGCCTCCTGCATGATTTTGGGGCTGAGGGCCCTCAGCCTCTCCATGGTCTCATACTGGCCCTGGCAGGATTTGAGCTTGTCCGAGGAGCCCAGGGTGTGTTTGAGCAGCACCAGGCCCACCCGGAAGATGATCTTCACTCCTGCAAGAGGAGACAAGAGGCATTGAGGCATCTACCAGGCAGGACAGGGTGACACTGCCACTATGTCCCTCAAATGCCGTGGACCAGCAGATTCCAGTCCCACTAACAGTCAGGACATGCAAGAAGGTGAATTTGGGATGGAAAACAGCCCACCTCCACCCCAGGCATGTGGCTGCCCCAAACCTGCCCTGCTACAGGTCCCATGGCCATGGGGAGTGCAGTCACCCCAGGAAGAGGAGGAGGATGAGGAGGAGGATGGTGGGAGCTCCCACCTTCACAGAAGAACATGTCCCAGACACGCAGGACGGAGCTCCAGGGCAGCGTGCGGGAGAAGGCGCACATGAACCACTCCGTCATGTACAGGATGGGGTCGATCTTCTGCTTGCTCAGGTGCTTGTAGGCCACAGGTGAGACCTTGTGCAGCAGTGAGAAGAGGATCTGTCCGTCCAGCTGGATGGCTTCCTGCAGGGACAGGGACCAGCATCCCAGTGAGTACCCCAGCCCTGGATCAGCCCCCAGTGCCTGGCCCCAGCAGGGGCAGCCAAGCCTCTACACCTGATATTGGCAGAGCTGTGTCCCATGGATGCTGCACTGAGACCCCCATCCCTGAATGTGAAATGCTTCTGGGAGCCAGAGCACAACAGGGAGACTCTGGGAATACCAAGGCCCTCCCCAGACCCTTTCTTTCCCCACGGTGAGGAGCTGGACAAGTTTTTGGCCTGGAGATTCAGAATCATGGAATGGTTTGGGTGGGAAGGGACCTTAAAACTCATCACATTCCACCCAATTGCCATGTGGTACCTTCCACTATCCCAGGGTGCTCCAAGCCCTGTCTAACCTGGATGAAAACACTTCCAGGGATAGAGTGGCCACAACTGCTCTGAGCACCCTGTGCCAGGGCCTCATCACTCTCCCAGGGAACAATTCCTGATTCCCAATATCCCATCCATCCCTGCCCTCTGGCAGTGGGAAGCCATTCCCTGTGTCCTGTCCCTCCATCCCTTGTCCCCAGTCCCTCTGCAGCTCTCCTGGAGCCCCTTTAGGCCCTGCAAGGGGCTCTGAAGTGTCCCTGGAGCCTTCTCCTCTCCAGGTGAGCACCCCCAGCTCTCCCAGCCTGGCTCCAGAGCAGAGGGGCTCCAGCCCTCAGAGCAGCTCCATGGATTCCTCTAGACTTGCTCCAGCAGCTCCAGGTCCCTCCTGTGCTGGGCCCCAGGGCTGGGGCAGCTCTGCAGGTGGGGTCTCACCTGGGTGGGGCAGAGGGGCAGAATCCCCTCTCCCCTGCTGCCCACGCTGGGGGCTCAGCCCAGGACACACGGCCAGGGCATGGCCAACCCTCACCCAGCAGCACCCCAAAGTCCTTCTCCCCAGGGCCGCTCCTGATCCCTTCATCCCCAACTCAGATTGATCCTGGGGGTTGCCCCAACCCAGATGCAGCACCCTGCAGGTCCCTGCCACTGCTGAATGCACCATGAACCCTTTACTCACCAGTTTCTCGCTGTAGTAGCCAGGGAGGTACTTCTCACAGATCTGCACCAGGCACCAGAACGCTTGCTGCAAGCCAAGGGACAGCAGGTGAGCACCCAGAGGACATCCCTGCAGCCCACTCCCTGCTCCCAGGGACCATGGGAGAGGGTGGGGAGCAGCAGAGCACCCCTGGGGCGCTTTGGGTTGCCCTGAGCTGGGCACCCCTCCCATCAGCACCCCCCAAAGGGCCCCACACCCTCCGGGAGGTGCCAGCTCTGTCCCCTGAGCCGCGTGCCCATACCTCAGCTGGCATGTGCATGAGCAGGACGGCGGCGATGGGCGCCTGGGCCTGGCAGTACCCCTCCTCAGGGCGGTACAGTGTGTACGCCTTCAGCACCCGGAACAGGTCCTGCTGCCTGCAGAGACACCGGGCACGCACAGCTGGGCACACGGCAGGCACAGCTGGGCACACACAGCTGGGCACACACGGCACACACAGCTGGGCACACACAGCACACACAGCTGGGCACACACAGCTGGGCACATGGCACACACAGCTGGGCACACACAGCACACACAGCTGGGTGCACGGCACACACAGCTGGGCACACCAGGCACACACAGCTGGGCACACACGGCACGCACAGCTGGGCACACATGGCAAACACAGCTGAGCACACGGCACACAC